TGTATGCATGTATGTATGTATGTATGTGTATGTATGTAGACTATGTATGTATATATGTATGTATGTATGTATGTAGAATATGTATGTATGTATGAATGCATGTATGTATGTATGTATTGGTGTATGTTTTTCCAGTCTATAGGCCTGGAGATACCAGTAATGTTCAACCATCTTATGTCCACACTCAGCCAATCGATGGGACGACTGCAAGAGGCTGACATACCTCAGGTGCTGGGGAAGTGGAGGGCGATGGTGGGAGGAGGCATGAGGGGGTGATGGTGGAGGAGGGAGTAGTACTGGAGGGGTGATGGTGGGAGGAGGGAGAGGCATGGAGGGGAGATGGGGAGGGAGGGGGTAGTACAGAGGGGTGATGGTGGGAGAGGGAGGTACAGAGGGGTGATGGTGGGAGGAGGGAGAAGGCAGGAGGTGATGGGAGGGAGGGGGTAGAACAGGAGGGGGATGGTGGGAGGAGGAGTAGTACTGAGGTGATGGTGGGAGGAGGGAGTACAGAGGGGTGATGGTGGGAGGAGGGAGTGTACTGAGGGGTGATGGTGGAGGAGGGGAGTAGTACAGGAGGGGTGATGGTGGGGAGGGAGAAAGGAGAGGGTGATGGTGAGGAGGGAGACAGGGGAGGGGGATGGGAGGAGGGAGTAGTACGAGAGGGGTGATGGTGGGAGGAGGGAGTAGTACAGAGGGGTGATGGTGAGGAGGGGAGTAGTACAGGAGGGGTGATGGTGGGAGGAGGAGTAGTACTGAGGGGTGATGGTGGGAGGAGGGAGTAGTACTGAGGGGTGATGGTGGAGGAGGAGTAGTACTGAGGGGGTGGTGGAGAGGGGGAGACAGAGGGGTGATGGTGGAGGAGGAGTAGTACAGGAGGGGTGATGGTGGAGGAGGGAGGAGGGGTGATGGTGGAGGAGGGAGTAGTACTGGAGGGGTGGGATGGGAGGAGGAGAATGAGGGGTGATGGTGGGAGGAGGGAGACAGAGGGGGATGGTGGAGGAGGGAGTAGTACTGAGGGGTGATGGTGGAGGAGAGAAGGGGTGATGGTGGAGGAGGGAGTAGTACTGGAGGGGTGGATAGGAGGAGGGAGAAAGCAGAGGGGTGGGATGGTGGAGGAGGAGTAGCAGAGGGGTGATGGTGGGAGGAGGAGTAGTGGCAGGTGAAGGGGTGATGGTGGGAGGAGGAGTAGTACAGGAGGTGATGGGAGGAGGGAGTGTACAGGAGGGGTGATGGTGGAGGAGGAGTAGTACTGGAGGGGTGATGGTGGGAGGAGGGAGTAGTACTGAGGGGTGATGGTGGGAGGAGGGAGGCAGGAGGGGGGATGGGGAGGAGGGAGAAAAGGAGAGGGGTGATGGTGGGAGAGGGAGTAGAGGTGATAGGAGGAGAGGGAGTAGGGAGGGGTGATGGGTGGGAGGAGGGAGTAGTACAGGAGGGGTGATGGTGGGAGGAGGGAGTAGTACAGAGGGGTGATGGTGGAGGAGGGAGAAGTACAGGAGGGGGGGATGGTGGAGGAGGGAGTAGTACAGGAGGGGTGATGGTGGGAGGAGGGAGTAGTATGAGAGGGGTGATGGTGGAGGAGGGAGAAGGTGAGGGGTGATGGTGGGAGGAGGGAGTAGTACAGGAGGGGTGATGGTGGGAGGAGGGAGTAGTGGACAGGAGGGGTGATGGTGGGAGAGGGAGACTGGAGGGGTGATGGTGGAGGAGGAGTAGTACTGGGAGGGGTGGATGGTGGGAGGGAGGAGTAGGCAGGAGGGGGATAGAGGGAGGAAGGGACAGGAGGGGTGGAGGAGGGAGGGAGAAGCAGGAGGGGTGATGGGAGGAGGGAGTAGTACAGAGGGGTGATGGTGGAGGAGGGAGTAGTACTGAGGGGTGATGGTGGGAGGAGGAGTAGTAATGGGAGGGGAGGGATGGGGAGGAGGGGAGTAGTACAGGAGGGGTGATGGTGGAGGAGGGAGTAGTACAGGAGGGGTGGATGGTGGGAGGAGGGAGTAGAAGCAGAGGGGTGGATGGAGGAGGGAGTAGTACAGGAGGGGTGATGGTGGAGGAGGGAGAGTAGTAATGGAGGGGGGGGACAGGGGAGGGAGGGAGTAGAACAGGAGGGGTGATGGTGGGAGGAGGGAGGTACTGAGGGGTGATGGTGAAGGAGGGAGTAGTATAGGAGGGGTGATGGTGGGAGGAGGGAGTAGTACAGAGGGGTGATGGAGGAGGAGGGAGTAGTACTGAGGGGATGGTGGGAGGAGGGAGAGCTGGGAGGGGTGATGGTGGGAGGGAGGGTGAAATAGGAGGGGTGATGGTGGAGGGAGGGTAGTACAGGAGGGGTGATGGTGGGAGGAGGGAGAAGTACTGAGGGGTGATGGTGGGAGGAGGGAGTAGGTACTGGAGGGGTGGATAGGGAGGAGGGAGTAGAACAGGAGGGGTGGATGGTGGGAGAGGGAGTAGTACAGGAGGGGTGATGGTGGAGGAGGGAGTAGTACAGGAGGGGTGGGAGGTGGGAGGAGGGAGTAATACTGGAGGGGTGATGGTGGAGGAGGGAGTAGTACTGGAGGGGTGATGGTGGGAGGAGGGAGTAGTACAGGAGGGGTGATGGTGGAGAGGGAGGTACAGGAGGGGTGATGGTGGGAGGAGGGAGTAGTACAGGAGGGGTGATGGTGGAGGAGGGAGTAGAAGCAGGAGGGGTGATGGTGGAGGAGGGAGTAGAACAGGAAGGATGATGGTGGAGGAGGAGGAGAACAGGAGGGGTGATGGGGAGGAGGGAGTAGGCAGGAGGGGTGATGGTGGGAGGAGGGGAGTAACAGAGGGGTGATGGTGGAGGAGGGAGTAGTACAGGAGGGGGATGGTGGAGGAGGGAGAAGTACTGGAGGGGTGATGGGGAGGAGGAGTAGTACAGGAGGGGTGTGATGGTGGAGGGAGTAGTACAGGAGGGGTGATGTGGAGGAGGGAGTAGTACAGGAGGGGTGATGGGAGGGAGGGAGTAGTCAGGAGGGGTGATGGTGGAGGAGGGAGAAGTACAGGAGGGGTGATGGTGGGAGGAGGGAGGTACAGGAGGGGTGATGGTGGAGGAGGGAGTAGTACAGGAGGGGGTGATGGTGGAGGGATAGTACAGGAGGGGTGATGGTGGAGGAGGGAGTAGTACTGGAGGGGTGATGGTGGGAGGAGGGAGAAAGACAGGAGGGTGATGGTGGGAGGAGGGAGTAGTACAGGAGGGGGGGGATGGGGGGAGGGGAGGGGAGTAGTAAGGGAGGGGTGATGGGTGGAGGAGGGAGTAGTACAGGAGGGGGTGATGGTGGAGGAGGGAGTAGTACAGAGGGGTGATGGTGGAGGAGGGAGTAGCAGGAGGGGTGATGGGAGGAGGGAGTAGTACAGGAGGGGTGATGGTGGAGGAGGGAGTAGGCTGGGAGGGGTGATGGTGGAGGAGGGGAGTAGTACAGGAGGGGGTGAGGGAGGGGAGTAGTACAGGAGGGGTGATGTGGGAGGGAGGGAGTAGTGCAGGAGGGGTGGGATGGAGGAGGGAGTAGTACAGGAGGGGTGATGGGAGGAGGGAGTAGCTGGAGGGGTGATGGTGGGAGGAGGAGTAGTGGAGGGGTGATGGTGGAGGAGGGAGTAGTATGGAGGGAGGGGTGATGGTGGAGGAGGGAGTAGTACAGGAGGGTGATGGTGGAGGAGTAGTACAGGAGGGGTGATGGTGGAGGAGGGAGTAGTACTGGAGGGTGATGGTGGGAGGAGGGAGTAGCAGGAGGGGTGATGGTGGAAGAGGAATAGTACTGGAGGGGTGATGGTGGAGGAGGGAGTAGTGGGAGGGGTGATGGTGGAGGAGGGAGTAGTACAGAGGGGTGATGGTGGAGGAGGGAGTAGTACTGGAGGGGTGATGGGGAGGAGAGTAGTACAGGAGGGGTGATGGGTGGGAGGAGGGAGTAGTAGCTGGAGGGGTGGAGGTGGGAGGAGGAGAAATACGAGGGGTGATGGTGGGAGGAGGGAGAAGTGAGGGGTGATGTGGAGGAGGGAACAGGAGGGGTGATGGTGGGAGGAGGTAGTACAGAGGGGTGATGGTGGAGGAGGTAGAGGTGGAGGGGGTGGATGGGAGGAGGGAGTAGTACAGGAGGGGTGATGGTGGGAGGAGGGAGAGAACAGGATGATGGTGGAGGAGGAGTAGTACAGGAGGTACCTTAACTTCAACATAACCTCAGTGAGTTGGGCTGAAGCCTCCGTGCACCTGGCTGGTAATGTGAGGTGTTGATTGGTTGTGTTCGGCGGGTGTCACCCGTGCGGGGAGGCGTGCCTCACTTCTTTCTCCCGGAGCTCAGCGCCCTGCTGGAGGGCCTGCACGAGGCTGTGTCAGAACTCATCTCCGCCTCTGCCGCCGACGAAGTCTCCCTCATCAGTGATCTCTCCGAGCTCTCCGGTGCCCTCAGCTCCGTGGTGGTACTGCCCCCACGGCTGCCAGACCCGCCTAAGATGCGCAAGTCGACCTCCGTGATCGACCTGGCACAGATACATGAACTACAGCCTCTGTGTAACGTGCACACGCCGCCGCGCCTCAGCAGTAGTCAGTGTAACCTGGCCGAAGAGATCCGCGGAGAGCCTCCCCTGCCTGGCCGCCTGCTGGGCCACTCACGCCGCCGCTCCATGAGTGAGACCAACCTTTGCTCTGCCTTGACGAGACCGACGAGGAGCTGGAGTCTCGAGATGACGACCTTGAAGACGCCGACCTCCGCCAAACAGACTTGCCCAAGGACCGCACGTCCTCCTCTGGTTCCTATAACTCCTATCGCTCTACAGACTCTGGAGTGCGACTCTCGGCGTCACCCTCGACGCACTGCGACGGTGGACGTTACATGTCGGACAACTCCACCCGTCGTTTTGTCACCAAGTCCGATTCTTTAGATTCAGGAGTCAGAGCGTGTCTGAAGGAGGACGCGCGTGACACTACTGTAGAAGGGGAAGACAGCAGGAAGACGGACTCTCCCTGCACTGACGGGAAGCAGGAGGGTAGACGCGGCATGAGCGCGTTAGAAGAGGAGCCTGATGTAGATACCAAAGTAGGGGCCTGGTGCTTACAGAGTGCCCGGGTCAGGAAGTCTTTCTTCGCTAAGAACCTTAATGTGACTTGTGCCGCGCATAAAGACAGACAGAAAACAAGACAGCTCAGAGGGACCATGTCGGAGTCCTACAAGGAAGTTGTCGACAAACACGACGACTACAGGAGAATGTCGGAGCGCCCTACCATGCCCAAGACCTGCACAGTGTACGAGGAGATCGTTGACGTGCTGAAGCCTCTCAGCACCGCTAACCAACAGGAGAAGGAACACGATTACGAGGAGCTGGACAAGTGTCGTAGAGACATCAAGAGGAGTTACAGCTTTCAGGAAAAGTCGAAGCCTCCGCCATTACCACCACGACGACCTAAGTCCTTCTCCCCTGACCCTGGGGCCGAGGAGGCCTTCTAAATCAGGGACTTTGAAGAAAATATTTGGCCTTTCGTTCCAGAGTAAATCTCACTCAACAGACAGTATGCTGGACGTGGACCCCTCCGGGTATGATGACATGACCACCTTAGGCAGCGCCGACGTGGCCCTGGTACAAGCTATTGGCACTTTACCTCGAGTAAGGAAAAAAGTTGGACCTGAACGTCAGTCTAGTCGGTCAGCATCGCCCAAAATGTTCGAAACAGAAGGCCAGATCACTGTTCGGTGTGTCGCCCAGCAGGTCTCCCATGATACCACGACCCAAAAATTTTTTTTCTTCAAGGGTTCTGGCAAAGAGGACATACAAATATCGCCTCACTCTAAGGTGCCATTCAGACTTCATCGACAATTCTCTCTCCAGACTCAGCGGACTCCCAGTACCGACAGCTCATTAGCAGACATCTCAACACCGGATACGCCGCCGCAGCAGCAGCAGCAACAGCAGCAGCAACAGCAACAGACGTTTGGCCATCGGGCGTACTGGCGAGGTGAAACGTCCGGCGCACAGGCAACAGACGGCCAGAGCTCCAGTGACGACGCCTGCGGTGCCATGGCAGGGAAAGACTCCTACGCCTTCCTTAAGTCGCCTAAACTAATGACAAAAACCTTCAGTTTTTTAAAGAAGCCTCAAAGAGAAATCAGGATCTTTAGAGAGACAGCGCAAGTCTGGCATCAACTTCCTGCCTCCTCAAGAGCTGGTGAACAAGCCTCAACAGCTACTCCATGGACAGCTTCGCCGTGGAGAAAGGTTCACAGAGTTGCGGCACACCTGTCCGGGACACAGACTCTGACTGGGCTGAAGCTGACGTGGTTCCTGGCTGCCGCCTTCGCTCCATGTCCTACTTACCCCGCCTCCCCGCCATCAGGATCCCCTTCCACTCCCACCACGACTCTACCTCCACCACTCCAGCAGGGACCCCAACCAGTCATTCCTTCAGCCCACTTCGGAAGCTCAGTTCTCCACAACCATCGACGGAACCTCTGTCGTGGAGGGACGAAGGCGGGTGTTGGAAGGAGTGTGAGTCTCGACTGATGCCGAGCGGTCACCCACTACCTCCCCCTCGTGAGCCTCCCCCGCCCCCTGAGCCTCACTACGCTAACCTCCCCCACCACAGCCACGACCCAGACTACATGTCCATGGACGAGGTGCGAGGCGCCTTCAGACGTATCTCCAACGCTTCCGTCGCCGAGAGCAGACGAGACAGCGGCGGCTACCTATCCATGGGTGAGATCCGGTCGTTCCAGAGGCAGTGTGAGGCAGCAGAGTGTCCCGGGTGTAGCGTACACTTGCCTAACATCACCCACCACGACTGTCAGCCCGAGAGGGAGACACACCCAGAGGACCACGAGTATATGACCATGGACGACATCCACGTTCTCCACACGGAGTTCCCGGCGATATATTCTTCGTCAGACGAGAAGGAGTTGTAGCAAAAGGATGCGGCTTTAAGAGCGCACCCTCCAGCCGCAAGACCTCATACTCGGAAGGCTCGGATTACCTCACGCCCCAAGAGGTGGGTCGCATGATCCGGCGGGAGGTGTTGGCCATAAGACGAGGCCGAGAATCTACAGGAGAACCCCTCCTCCACCACCAGACTCTCCCCCCACACCACTACGAGCCTCACCACCACCAGCAACAGCACGATCCCCCCACCACCACCACCACCCAGAGCCTCCCCAACACAAGCAGTACCACCACCACTAACACTACCACAGCTCAACGAGACAACTTCAAACAACAACAACAAAAACAAACAAACAAACCAAAAGAACCATCAACAAGAAAATCAGTACCTCTGAATAAAAGAGCATCTGGAGCAACACTGAAACAAGAAAACAAAAAATAATCGGAAAAAAAAGAATCAATTGGCCGTAGAACAGGACCATCACGCTCACAATTATGCATATTGTGTGCTTCTTTTTATAACCATATATAATAGACTTCACATGTAATTTATCCATTCACCATTATGATTACAACTATCTGTGTGTGTGTGTGTGTGTGTGTGTGTGTGTGTCTGTGTGTAAGCGTCGCTTCATGCCAACACAGGTACGTATGAATTTCTATAGGACAAAAAAAAAATAAAACTGTTACCAACATATTAGTGTATTGTAAATGTACAGTAGTTGTTGTTTTCTGATAACTAACTCTCAGCAACTACAACATTCCTCTCTGAATTCACTACAACAACAACAACAACAACGACAACAACTATTACTCCAACGATGGTGCCAATAATTCTTCCCCCCCCCATTCCTTTCGGCCCAAAACTCACACACACACACATCACACAATAACACACACACACACACACACACACACACATACCAAAACACATACATACATAAAGCTTTTGTTCCCCAAAAGCTCAAATCGTCTATATATATATATAAAAAAAACTAATAATAATCATAACTTAGAGAGATAATGAAAGACACTGTGTACAGACTGAGAAGAAGAAAACACTTTTCACGGTAGTGTTTCGTTATTGTGAAGGACGGATCCTAAATGGACTCAGCATCTGTTTATTAGGCAATATTTTTTTTTGGTTACCTCCAGGATCCCCTGCCCCCGGGCCCCTGCCCCTGCCACCGCCCAAAAAAATTGAGAAGTTAAATTTAATATCTTTATTTATTTTTACTCCCATGCCCCGCCCGCCCCGGCCTCGCCCCGCCCCGACCCCTGCCCTGCCTCCCAAAAAAAATTGAGAACTCTTAAATGATAATAATGGACATAATAAATTAATTTTAGTCTGCCTATCACGATGCTGCGTCTACTCATACTGTCCTCCCGTGCGATAGCCGGTGTGTGGGTATAAACTGACCCTGTACACATATGCTCTCTATAACTTTAAAAATAATAAAAAAATAATAATAAATAAACAAATAAATAAATAAATAAATAAAACTTTTTCATAACACTTGATACTAAACAACATTTTTGGTGATTTACATATATTTGAGTATACTAGATTAGTTTTGTAAATTTTATGTGACACAACGACTGTAGTAGGATTTTAATATCGTTTTTCGTCTCAGTATTTTACCTTTCCATTAACCCACCCCACCCCTTACCCCACCTAACCCACCTGCCATACCTTCAACCCCCTCTACTTTCCCTGAAAAAAAACCTCACACCTTTATCTTGATGATTTGGATTATGCAGTTTTCCAGTTGACTCAAATATTACGTCAGTCAATCAGTCAAGTCTGTGATTCAGTCAGTGAACCAGTCAGTCAGTCAGTCAGTCAGTCAGTCAGTTCAGCCAATGAGGAGAGTGATCCTTGAGGCAGGACCCACCATCAAGGGCCACTTCATAACATCATTAACACAGGATTATCGCATTTAAGACAACAATAACAAAGGTGGTTTAGCATTATATGACACACACTTGTCACCTAACACCAGAGAGACAACATGGACGATTAGCAGACACTCCTCAAAACGTTGTGTGTCCCCTTACGACCCCAAGACAACACCCAACTGACCCCAAGACAACACCCAACTGACCCCAAAACCCCAAAACGTTCTGTGTCCACCCCCCCCAAGACCCCATCACCTCAAGACCCCCAGGCAGCACAGAGGCAATATAGTGATGTACAGTATGAAGGAAGAGAAGGTCAGTGTAGAAGTGTCATAAGGTTCATTCCTCAGCGTTCCTTTACTACTAACAGAGACCTCAACACACACACACACACACACACACACACACACACACTGAGAGCCTAACTGGTTGAACATCAGCTGATCAGGTAAACAATGGGTGTAATGACTTGTTCAACCTGACTCAGCTGAGGAATTTGTTGGTCATCTGGAGGTCAACACAGGTCAGGCTGGCAGGCAGGATGTTGACCTTTTAATGTAAGTCAACATAGGTCAATTAAATGTGTTGTGATCAAGTGCAAGTCCCCAAAAAAGTGGACCTAGAGTATTCCTGTTCACTCATTGGTCAAAGGCACGTGACGTCACTGACCACGTGCCGGTAAAAATCACGTCAAAATACTGTGTTATTGATCGAGTGTGTACCCAGAGGATCAAGGAGGTGGCGACAGTCCTCAAGGGTGTTTCAAGGCGGGTAGTGAGATAAGGCAGGTCGGAGCTATACTTACTTACAGACAGGTCACGTGAATATAGATAACCTTACACACACACACACACACACATACACCCTATCAGGTCACTTGGGGGTCACACGAGAACATGACCTCTTATGACCAACAAATCTATTAATAACCAAAACCCTCCACTCAGGAACTAACACATACAACACGGGTATAAACAACCGAACCCCGACCTATGAGATATCTTCAAGGTGTCGAGAGTAACGCGTTGGGATGGGGATTATTTTACCCTAAGTGTTGTTTGTGTGTGGAAGTGGAAGCTCACGAGTATCGGTAATAACTTGAGTCCTTCACGTGTAG